GTCAATGCGGGAATGCCTCACTGTGCGGCGAGAGAGCCAAACACGGACAAAGTGTGTTGTCATGCGTAGAAATGGTGAATTAATGAGTTTTAGGCACGTTAATAACGTTTTAATGAAGTTGACTACAGTATATTCATATTTGTCAGTGCTTTCATGTCAATTTGGCGAACATAAACATAAATGATCGTGGTGAAGATGATGATTAAATTAGGATTAAAAATCTGTAGTGAGAGCTGCTGAATTTCCTCCCGTCGGATGTGATATAAAAACAAATCGATTATTTTTGTAGTTGTAAACTCAAGTGGATGAAACTACATTTATTAGTGCTTTCATGTCAATTTGGCGAACATATGATACATTAAATGATCGTGAGTTTGAGCCGGTCTGCGTTTCCTGATGAAAAAACAAACCGATGCTTTTTGTAGTTGTAGTACACCAACATGATTAAACGTGTGTTTTTTTTACCACAATGTTGGGGAAATTATTGGATAAAATGCATGGATTATTATTATTATTATTATTCCCACTCCGATCCCCGCAGCGAGGCTCCCCCCGTTGACAGTTTACGTGGGCTGGGCTGGGTGCAGTGGCGGACTGGCCATCGGGACGAATCCCGATGGGCCGGTACCGAAGGGGGCCGGTCGGATAAGTCACTAGCACATCCCCCACTCCCCCCTTTGACAATTTACTAGCGGTACCGAAGTGGGCCGGTCGAGAGTCCCGGGCTGATTTTTTGTCCCAGTCCACCACTGGCTACATGACCGTATGATCGCCCATATTGAAGCACCTAATTCCTAAACTTCTAACAGATAAAACATAAACCGATCCTTCAGCCTCATATGAGCTCTCAGACACGTTCAAAATTAAACTGTCATTGCTGTCATCGCTTGCTGCTGTGTGCGCCATCGTGCGTTTACATGCAGATGCTGGGATCCGGAACGGTGCAGCCGGAGCGCTTGGCCCGCAATGACGTCACACATAATTTGGCGGGACTTGAAGAATCCTCGAGAGGATCCAGAAAATGGTCAACATTGAAGGGCAGATTAATGGTTATCAAAGTACAAATATCCAAAATCAGTTCAGTAACGGTTTTCAAGGGGACAATATTTACTCAAATTGATGGGTTTGGATGATGGGGGAAACCTCGTGTCACAGGCTCTTTAAACTGACCTCTAATCCACTTCTCCAGGTTCCCCCGTCCCGTCCTCTCAGCTACTGGGGGCCCGGCTCCAGAGTGCCCCCACCCTGACCGAGGTCTACCAGACCAGGCAGAAGCTCCACAAGCAGTTATCAGACCCGGTTCAGCCTTCCTCCTCCGCCTCCTCTTCCTCCTTCAGTCATTCCCCTCAGTTCGGCCGCCCGGCCAACCTGGGCTCCTCCCCCACAAAGCTCCTGGGCACCTCCCCCCGCACGTCCGACTGGCTGCAGAAGTCCCCGCTGCCAACCATCATCGGCTCTCCCACTAAAGTGAGTACAGATTTTAAGTAATTAAAAGATCAGCACCAAATACATTCCGTTTTTTAAGTTTCCCTGTTTATTTTGTACCTTTCAGACCATATCGGCCCCGTTCAAGATTCCCAAAACACAAGCGTCCTGTAATCTGATGGCGCTGGCGGACAGCCCCGTGCCCACCAAGACGTTGGCAGATGCTCGGGAAATGTGTGCCCACCACTGCAACCAGTACCTCTCCGGACGCCCCGCGGCCCCCGAGGCCAGCAGGACCTTTGGCAGGTAGGACTCCTGGACTGTTTCCTTCACTACCCTGTTTCCTTTTGCTACCCCATGCCATCTTTCCAACTTCCATTGATGGTCATTATCGTTTATTGTTAATATGGATGTTCCTTTGCTATTCTTTGCCATCAGTAGTATCGTACCACCAAGGCACCTTCACAGTTTTGTGCCAGATTCATTGCTTGGCAGGCAAAACATACCAAATTCATTGGTTGGAGTCTCTGTTTCTAACATTGAATGCCTCTAAATTGTTGTATTTGCATAAAAAATGAAGACATTCATATTTAAGATTCAACGGTTTTATTGTTATATTCAAAGTAGCTACAGTGTAATTGTTGGCAATAAAAAGCTCAGGCTCCACCAAAAGTGCAACATACAAAATAACCAAAAACTAAAATAGTTAGTAAAATGTAGGAATAAGTAAACTACGTATCTTTTAAACAGAATATGATCAAAATAAAAAATAATATATACTGTACAGTTGAATACAATACTCTGTATGTAATAATATGTAAATATGTAGGCTGCAAACAGATAAAAGTGCTAGAAGAAGATGTGTAGAGGACAAATGTGCTATTTTAAATAAATAAATAAATTAGTCTTTTGCATGTTTTTGGAGGAAAGGGCACTTGTGTGGTGCCGTGTGACGTCACTTTTTCATCTGTTTGACATTGTGTTGATGTTGTTTGTGTTTTCTCTGCAGGTCCGTTAGTACAGGTCGTCTGTCTGAGCAGCAAATCAGAATCACTCTGGGGGGACAGGCCTATCAGGGCAGCAATGACAGCCTGAACGCAGAGCGACCCATGGACACAGGTATGAGAACACTGCTGTCTGCACATGGCCAATATAGGGGGTTGTGAATGTCTGGTTAGTCTGTATTCCTCCTTATAAAAGTATATAAAGTTATATTTAAACATGCCAGAATGATAACTTACCTGATACTTAATGCTTCCTTATACAGAGTCTCATTTTTTACAGTGTATGATATAGCATTAAACCCATTTCCTCTTCCTAAAGCCCCTGCAGGTCCCAGTGGGCTGGTTCAGGGTATGTCAGCGAGCCCCCGTACCGTCCTCTTCACCGTGGGTTCACCGCCCAACAGTAGCACTCCGCCCACCTGCAGCCACATGGGCACACGACCCCGCACCACCTCAGGTGAGCACCCGGACCCTGAGCAAATAGGCTGTTCCCAGCAACAACATGTTTTTAGTTAGTATTGATCTATGACCCCCCCCTCTCCCGTCAGTGGGCTCCAACAGTTCTGGTGGCTCCTTGTGCTCCACCAGCGGTCGGGTCTATGTGGGGTCTCCCCCCGGCATGGCCATGGGCTGCTCTCCTCCAGGGGGTTTCGGGGTGAGTCAGGTTGCTCACGGGAGTGATGGGGCACCCAGCAGCCTGCGCTACGTTCCCTATGGGACTTCCCCCCCCAGCTTGGAGGGGTTCATCACATTCGAAGCCCCTGAGCTGCCCGAGGAGACTCTGATGGAGGTGAGGAAGTGTTTGGAGTCTTTTAATCATCACTTAACAGGATAATTAACCAGTAAGGACCTGCTCGACTTGATTCACTTTTGGTACCAGGTCCTTCTAGGACAGCTTCGTGACTCACTGGTACAGTCTTTTAATGTACTCTTTCCTGTTTGACATTTACTCTTTGTCTGGTCCAGCGAGAGCACACAGACACGCTGATGTACCTCCGCATGATGCTCTCCTTCACGGACTGCGTCCTGGAGATGGCAGCGGTGCGAGCCGGAGGGACGGAGCTCGGCGTATCGTCGGCCTCGCTCTACCCCCCCCAGGACAGCGTGGTGGTAGACCAGATCAGCCAGCTCAGCAAAGAGTGGGGGTAAGGAATGCCTAAAGTGTGGTCTGACAGGATCTCAGATAAAGACTAATATCATGCAGTCTGAGGAGGAGGAGGAGGAGGTGTGCTGCAGTGTTTGATTGACTGTGCTTGTGATGCCCCCTTCAGGCAGGTGGAGCAGTTGGTGCTCTACATGAAGGCGGCTCAGCTCCTGGCTTCCTCTCTGCATCTGGCCAAGGCGCAGATCAAATCAGCCAAGCTCAATCCTTCCAGTGCCGTCAAACAGGGTAAAGAAATGTCATCCAATTAGAAAAGAGGCAACATCTGCTGTTCACCCTTTTCATCATAGGGAGTTGTTTAAATGTTACCTTTGTCTATTTAATTATTACTGTTGTTGTAACTTAACATCCGTTGCTGTCTAGATAGTGATGAGTGAGGCAATACAAACACAATATTTGTATAGTAATCCTTTTAGAGATATTTAATTCCTTCAAGCATGGCACTTTTGTACAAGTGAGCACCCTAGAGAGTAACTTTTTAAAGAGTTTCAAGAGAGCAACAATAAAACATACACATCCCAGTTACTCGCTATAAAACAGTAAAACACAAGAAATATACACTCTTTTCCCAAGGACCCTTATTTTGAGTGGGATAAATCACTTCAGCCTAAACCTTAAAACATCTGTTTATCAAGGATTACAATACTTTTTACTTTCAACTACTTCAATACCAACATTCATATTACATGTTTAATGCCTACACTCAACATGTCTATTTTTTCTCTCAGTGGTGAAGAGTCTGAACGAGCGTTACAAAAGCTGCATCTCCCTCTGCCGGCGGCTGACAGACAAACTCAACCACTTCTTCTCCGACAAGCAGCGCTTTATGGACGAGATCAACAGCGTCACAGCGGAGAAGCTCATCTACAATAATGCCGTGGAGATGGTGAATGCCAGATATACAACGCGAAAGCATAAATATCTTTAAAAAAACGTGATTCTTGTCAGTTTAATTGATACAATAATGTGATGCTGTGTGTGCGTCAGGTTCAGTCTGCGGCTCTGGATGAGATGTTCAAGCAGACCGAAGATATCGCCTACCGCTACAGCAAGGCCGCCATGCTGCTGGACGGCCTGTCCAAGATCCTGCAGGACCCCACCGACATTGAGAACGTGGTCAAGTGTGAGTAAAATCTCTGGGACATAGATACACACATTCCTACACATGGGCCTCGAGCAGAAATCAATGGTATGAACAGACTGGGTTTAAGTGGCATCTATTGCTGGCTTCACATGATTAGCTTTAGAACGGTTATGATCTCACTTTGCCATTGTTATCTTATGGAGAGCGGTGGAAACTGTCGCCAAGCTAGCATTTTAATGTTATTTTTACTTTGACATTTATGGTTGCTGACCTTATTACATGCAGACAATGAGGTAGCAGCTGTACAAAGCAACCAAAGCTAGCAGGGAGCTAGCCATAGAAAATGAAACTTAATTCTGTTCACAGTAAACAAAGGGCCACTCACTCAGGCAGATTTGGAATTCATTTTGAAAATGTGTCTCATAACGTTTCTGTTGATAACAAACAAATTCTACAGCAAATCTACAAATCATGTACAGATCCGGATCTTTTTAACGTGGGAAAAAGCTAGTTTTGACTTAAAAATCAGCGGTTCTCACAAAAAAGATTGAATGAAGGCAGTTGAAATATATTTTCTTATATTCACTTCTTGAAATGTTTGCGTTAACAACTGTAATTTAATTGGTTGTTTGTATTTTCCCTGCAGACAAGGCCAGCGTGGACCGCAGGATCTCAGCCCTCTGCTACTGCACTGTTACACTATACGAGTAGCAGCCCACACACACACACACACACACACACACACACACACACACACACACACACACACACACACACACACACACACACACACACACACACACACACACACACACACACACACACACACACACACACACACACACGACGACGTACACGACTACGACGACGAC